AACAAAATAAAAAAACTAATAAACTATTTTTGTTCTTATTTTTTAATAATTTTGATAATATGTTATAAAAACACATGAAAGTAATTGTAGGTTTAATTTTTATTTAGAGTTGCAAATTTTATAAAAAATCAAAATAAAAAATAAAAAATCATAACCATACCAAACAAAACTTTAGTTGAGTCAATGAATTTGGCAATAGTATTTAGATCGTTTAAATAAAGCTGATTAATAACCATGCTGAAAATGGACTCAAACAAAATTTGATGAATATGGTTTTATCTAGATTAAACCAAAGCATAACAAAAAAGGGAAAAAAAAAAAAAAAAAGCTTAAGATTTCACTTAATTTTGTTATAATTGAATTAGGCTCAAAGCAAGAGACTATATAAAAAGGTGGACCATAGAAGTTAATAGGTTAATGATTTGTATCTACTTTTTTTTCATTTTATATACTTTAACTAAAAAAACTTTGATTTGGGATCCAGGTGAAGCTTTCACACTTCTACCATAACAAGCAGCTAATCCTTTAATATATTAAAAAAATATGTTTATAATTCAACAAAAACTTACATGAATCAAAAAATATGGTTAATTTTTCTTTCCTCTTTTTTTCAGGTAAGTGATGTGAATAACCCTAACTTATTTAATTTGTAAATGTTTGATTGAGACTTTATCACTTAATTTAAATCTTCCTCTATATCTATACTTATGTATATTTTGTATAATTTGCAACCATTGCCTTGGGTGACAATGCTAAGCTTGAGGTTGGCTGTATCTATGTGGGTAATACTGCACTTCATACTATCTCTTGTACACTCTCGAAAAAAAGGATCATACTAGGGGTATACTGATGTCTAATATAGAATAATAACAGCAAAAGAGTAATATTAAAAAGATTTGCATTTAATTGAGCTTTTTTATGTGTAATTCACCTTATATATTATCTTTACTAATTCATAAACTCAGCTTATCAATAAAATATATTTTTATCTTTTATTTAACCGGATAATGTTTTGGGATGCTTCAATTGCAGAAAGGAGTTTTGCCAAGGAGTATGAGTAGCAAGCAACTTGGTTAGGAGAGGATGAACAAGGCGTTGGTGTGTTATTATTTAGGTGATAAGTATTAATTTTATTTATATAAATTTTATTTAAAAAAGATCAGAAAACTATTTTCCAATACGGACTGTAAAAAAAATTGACGGTCCGCACCTCCAAAACAGCGTCGTTCCTCATTTTATCAGAAAACCCTTTTATTCCTTCAATTCTCTTCACACTAGTAGATCTCATTCTCCTTCATCTTCTTCCCCTGAAGTGGACACTGCCCACAATCTCCAGAATGACATCCTCTCTGGCACACTGACTCAAGCTGGAAGATGGCTTCTGCTAATTTCAAGCCGCTACAGATACTCTCGGACTCCGATACCGACTACGACTGCGACCACTCTAATGCTGGATCTGAGCTCTCGAACTCTATCTTCAAATCCTACTTAGAATCGTCGTTGTCATCCTCCCTCACCGCCGTTGATCTTTCCAAGATCCAATCATTCGTCACCACATCCTCATCCAGCGCTCTATCGTGCCTCATATGCCTCGAGTGCATCAGGCTCTCCGATCCAACCTGGTCCTGCTCCTCGCTGTGCTTCAGTATTTTCCACCTCCTCTGCATCCAATCCTCTGACCTCTCCGCCACCCGTGCCGCCACTCGCTTACCGATGATTGCCGAGACAACCTCCGATCAGGCAACCTGGCACTGCCCCAAATGCAGATCCCCTTACTGAAAATCAGAAATTCCCAGAAAATATTTCTGCTTCTGCGGTAAACTCGAGGACCCACCCTGCGATAATCCCTGGATTTTGCCCCATTCTTGTGGGGATGTCTGCAACCGCCCTTTGAAGCACAATTGTGGACATTTTTGCTTGCTTTTGTGCCACCCGGCACCTTGCCCGTCCTGCCCCAAGCTGATTAGAAGATGTGCGCCGCTGCGGATTCAAAAAATTTTCTTGTAACAAGCCTTGTTCGAAGCTTTTGGATTGCAAGAAACACAGATGTTCTCATATCTGCCATGAAGAGACGTGCCCACCCTGCCAGGCAAGAGGTACCCACCGGTGTCAGTGTGGAAAAAAGGAAGAGGAGAGAGACTGCTGTGACTAGGATTTCCAATGTGAGAATCCTTGTACAAATGTTCTTGGATGTGGAAAACATGTGTGCCAGAGAGGATGTCATTCTGGAGATTGTGGGCAGTGTTCACTCCAGGGGAAGAAGACGAAGGGGAATAAGATCTTGTGTGAAGAGAATTGAAGGAATGAAGGGGTTTTCTGACAAATTGAGGAACGACGTCGTTTTGGAGGTGCGGACGGTGAATTCTTTTTTACCATTCGTACTAAAAAACAGTTTTCTGAAAAAAGATTTTATATACACATAAATAAAATATAAATAAATATTAAATTTATTATAAAAAAATAAATTATTTAAAGAGTTAAATTTTAAAATTTATTTATTTTAATTAAAATTTAATCAAAATTTTAAAATAAATGTAATAACCTAACGCGAGATTTTACCTTACTTTTCGCGCAGGATTCACAATTGTTTCTCTGTCTTTTCTCAGATATTTTTCTCAGCCTCGGGATTCCTTTCACTCTTGTCAAAACCAGGGGCGGAGGGTCTAGAGACTAGAGCTCACCTCCAACGTGAAATGTCTCCTGGATATTTATTGTGTGGTGGTTAAAAATAAATAAATTTTCTAAATATTTGTCCTATAATAATTTAAATAAAACAACAAACTATTATATCCAACGGTAAGATGAAAGCATGGTTATCAAAAATCGTGTTTTAAAATCATAAAATCATAATTTTGAGTAAAATTTATGTTAAAATTGAATTTTTATAAAATCAGAACATAAAATCGTAAAATCGCGATTTTTTCATAAAATTATTTGAAATCTCGATTTTACTTTCACAAGATTGAAGAAAAAAATTTCAAAAATTCAAACATAAATTTGATCTCTGATCTTCCTTACTTTAGGTTTGCCGCAGGGGAGGGAGAGATTTTGGATTACTGCGGTGCCGTTGCTCACTGTTGCTGCTCACTGCCACTGCTAATGGTAGGAGCTGGTTGCTGCTGCTCACTGCTCAAGCAAAGAAGGATAAAATCTATTGCCAAAAAAAAGGAGTGAATAAGGATCTGAAAGCAAGCTTGAATGGAGAAAAATGGTAGAAAGGAGGAGAAAAATGACGGACGGCGAAACCAAAGAGGATGAAAGGATGGAGGAGGGTACTTTTTTTAATGGGTAGTATATTGACACGTCACAAGGATTGATGTTTGTTTTTTGCGTAGTGCTAGGGGCACTCGTCTCCTGCACTCTTCAGGCAACACATGCTTTTTTATTGGGCCACATAAGCTTACTTAACCATGAAATGATGACCTCTCCAAAAACCAACATAACGTGGCCGAATGAAAATAGAAGTGTTGGGTGGAGAGCAAAGTAGTCTATATCGTACCGGCATGCGTATCGATTTTGTTACTGGAAT